CTGCTCATTTTAATAACGGTGTCTATGATTTTGTAGCAATACTTTGACATGCTTCCTCTGGATCCCAATGTGAATCTTAAAAGAGTTTTTATAAACGGGTTTCAAAAATCTATATAAATTGGTTCTTGTTAATTAATGAACCTATTTTTTCTTCCCGACAGTATCAGTGTTTAGTCAGCATATTTACCTTAAATATGTTCCGACCCTGCTGAAGCCACAGACAGTCAAAAAATTCTTAAGTCACCCTATTCATTAAGAACCCATGCCTGTTTGAGTGTTGTAAATACAAATCTAGAAATTCCAGTAATTTAAGCAAAAAGTATAGAAACCACAACAGATTTTGGTCACATGTTTAATATACAAAGTAGTCTTTCACAGATCATTATTTTCTTTTTCTTAATTTGTCTTCATACACATCATTCACAAAACATTGAATTATTAATGCAAGAGAATCAAGTAAAACAAAATAGTACAAATGCCCAATCTCAAAAATTGTACACAGTCAAAACACTTTTCCTTGTCTGTTGTAATATAATATTTACTTTCAAAATGGGCTTTCTTCTGATGTGGAGGAAACACTGCAGCCCAAAAACACAGTACTTCCTTTCTGCTGTATGGGTATGTAAAATAGCACCATTGGGCTGACTTAAGGAAAGGAAGAAAGGTTTTCATCTTTCTTAAAGTGTAAGCTTTGCACAATTACTATTTAACAACCACAATAATAATGATAACAAATTTCAAGGACTCCATTCTTTTCCAAAATACTGGCAATGTAAGGAAAGGGAAAGTGCCAGATGGAATAATATTCCCTGCTCTACTAGACAATTTAATGTCACCTAAGGATATCATTGATCTAATGCGTTAATTATCCAGCCAAAGAATAGATAGATGCTTTGGGTCTGCTTAAGGGTCTTATACAAAGCAAGATAAAGTATCCCTGTGAGGCCATCTTTCTGGGACTGAAATCACATACAATGTGCATCTCAGAGGGAGTTTAATACTGGACATTTTGAAAGATTCCTTCTATATATACTGTCTTCAGTTTGTCAGACATAAATTTCTCCCAAGTTGTTACATGATGGTTTCAGTTTTGATTTTTTTTTTACTTTTTATTGTGAATTGAGTGAAAGTTTACAGGACAGATCATCAGTTTTACATTCAACAAATCATATACTTCATGTCATTACAATGATTGCAATCCCTTCCATGTACATTCAGTTAACAGTATTTACTTCTATTCACTTGGACTCTTGCACTCCTTCCTGTATCTCCCACTACCTTCATCTTTCCTGTGTCAACCTCTGTCTTGTCGTACATTGTCTTCCCCATCTCCCATTGTTTGTTTTTGTACTTAATTTAAAGTGCATTTTTTAAAAGAAAATGGAATTTCATTCCTATAGAATTAATTTTTGATAAAAATGCTAATCCTATATAATAAAATCTTTTACAATAATAGTGACAGTTCATTAATTTATAAAATTAACAGCATAAATGTCTGGTTTGTGATATCGATGCTACAGCTTCTTGTTTATTACAAAAACCACGGTTTTTTTTTTTTTAACAGACTTGTAAACTTACTATTTGATTCCAGTCCTTTGTTTCAGTTTCATTCTGTTTCTTACATGACAGGTAAACATGCCTCAAAACATTGCTACAAAGCCAAATCCATTCATTATTTGAAAGGTCATGTACCTTTGCTGCACAAAATGTAAAGATAATGTAATCAACATTGGGTTTTAAAAACCAGTAGACCTTTTCAGATTATTTGAGCCATAAGCAGCCATTGTAAGAAAACTTTAAAGTTTTAAGTTCAAAGAGTTCAGGGTTTGAAAAAGAATAGCAGAGTAATCATTGGTTGTTTTAACCTGGTGACACAGTGGTTAAGGTACTTTGCTGCTGTTGACCCAAAGGTCTGTGATTCAAATCCACCAGGAGCTTCAGGATAGCAGTCTGCTTCCATACAAATGTATAGCCTTGGAAACCCTATGGAGCGTTAAAACTACACTGTCCCAGACCTATAGGGTTGGTACGAGTCTGAGTCAACTCAATGGCATTGGGATTGGGTTGGAACCTGTTAGGGAAATACATTATTTTTCCATTTCAATAAAAATCAAAATTTATAAAAGTTAATTTAAAAAAAATTAGATCATAGTTTACCATTATTTATCATTAATATATTAATACTACCTATCCTTTTCCTTCTAAAAATTGTTCTTAGTGTTAAGTGTTGTTGTGCTTTAGAGTCCTTTCCAATTCATAATGCCCCTGTGAAGGGTTTCCATGGAGTAGTTATTAAGTTTGCTGGCCTTTCCGTTCAAATCGACCTTGTGGTCCAGTGCTTATCCTACAACGCCACACCGGAAATAAATGAGTCCTTATTTTAGTCAATTGTCTCTCACTGTGACATAGGAGAATGCACTCATCTATCTTGCCTGGATTCCTGCAGAATTAAACAGTATTTTGATAGTAAACAAGGTAATTTTTTTTTTTTTTTATCTCCAGTGCAAGCAACAGAGCAATCAACATTTGTTGGTTTGCTGGTGACTAGATACCCACAATTTGTAAACAGTGTATTGCCAAATCACAGGAAAAGTGGATTAGGTAAAGGTTTAAGAAAATTAACAGGAAAATCAAATCAAGGTTAATCCCTTACATAAAGTTGTTGTTGTTGTTGTTGTGAAGTGCTGTCGAGTCGGTTCCAACCCATAGCGACCCTGTACAGGGTTTCCAAGGGTGTAAATCTTTACGGGAGTAGAAAGCCTTATCTTTCTCCCGCGGAGCGGCTGGTAGTTTCGAACTGCTGACCTTAAGGTTCGCAGCCCGATTCATAACCACTACGCTACCAGAGCTCCTTACATAAAGAGCCATGGTTAAATCACCATGGATGTGTGACATTACCTTAAACTTTGGAAACAAACTTGGTGGTGGTGTGCCATCAAATCTATTCCGACTCATAGCAACCCTACATAGGGTTTCAGAGGCTATAAATCTTTACAGGAGCAGGAAGCCTCATCTTTTTCCTCCAGCAGAAAGCTGCTAGTTTCAAACTGCTGACTTTGAGGTAAGCAGCCCAACTCACAACCACTATGCTACTAGAGCTCCTTTGAAACAAGAGGAAGTTAATAGCTGTGTAGTTTCTTACAGGATCACGTGTTTTTAAAAACACTTTATTTGTGCAGAAATTTTTTGGTCCAGGTTAATTGCATCTGCTTGTTCTGCATATGCCTTTATTTCACACCCCTAGAAGCTTTAAGAAAGATGAATTTTAAACCTTGTTTCCTGTTTGACTGAAAATACACACACAAAAAATCGACATTTACCATTTTAAAATTATTATTTGTAGGAATTGGCACTATTTAGACTCAGTGTCAGCCACTACCAATATTAATACCACCTTTTTCCTCACTAACAGTTTTTTTTTTTTTTAACCTTTTTCCTATGATAATCTGTTTAGAACAAGCACACGATTAATTACAAAGTGCATCAATGTGATACCCAGATTTGTGCAGTATGATACCCATGCTTTGGTTCTTATGGCCATCATGGTTGCCTTTTCAAGTTAATAAATATGACAAGAAAAATAAATCACCTATTGTTTTTACGCATGACATCTTTCTTTTACTAGCAACTATATATATAATCATCAATGAAACTCACCGCAATATCACTCACACATCTGTTTTACGTGAATATGCAAGGAACACAATAATCCATGGAATTGTTAAACCAAAACAATTCAATTTATCACATCACAGTCTTGAATACTGTTACTTCCCAACTGAGCAAGGTATGCACGGTCAGCTTTTAATAGGGTCTAGATGCTTGGTCATAGCTACCATTTGTCAAGTTGACACTTTATGTGAGTGAAAAATACCTCATGACCTTAAACATTTGATTTGGTAACAAAATTACTTAATTTTTGCTTTCCTATACCATAAGTGCTTCATAGTAGCAAAAAAGTTCATTTCAAAATATTTCCAAGGCAGATTTCTGTATCTTAAGTACTATTTTCACCTTTCAGAGAAATGGTAGCTTCATTTAATCAATTAAGCAGGACACTTAATTTGGTTAATTTAGTGCTTTGTAAAATACCACTTGTAAAACTTTAAAACAATGAAGTAAACTATTGTTCTAAAACATTCAATTATTAAGGAAGAAGCTGTGTCTCTTAATTTTAGGCTGCACTGTCCAATATGTTGTTAAGTGCCATTGAATCGGTTCTGACTCATAGCAACCCTGTTTAGGGTTTCCGAGGAGCAGCTGGTGGATTTGAACCACCAACCTTGCAGTTCCACTTGACCTTGTGGTCCAGTGCTTATCCTATAGTGCCACACCAAGACTCCGATATAGTTAGTTCAGGTTCTGTAAAGATAGAATGCCTATGAATTTTTAAGGACTTGATTCAAAAGAATAAGATGTGAACAATCATTCTAATCATTTTTTTATTGATGACATGGTAAAATGATAATTTGGATATAAAAGGTTAAAACATTATCAAAATCCATTTTACCAATTTTTTTCTAATACTAGAAAATGTTAAATCACATCTGTGGCCCACAGTTGTGGCTCACATTTTTACAGGGCAGCACTGGTTTAGAGGGACAAGTAAAGAGAGAAAATACGGAACCTCTGTTTAGTTGGGTTTCAAATTCTGTGAGTGTTTTAACAGAGCAGGACTAATTAAGGCCCAGAACTCTGAAAATTTTTGTCCATAATTTAAACATAATTCCAAGTATTAATACTTTCAAATGTGTACTGCAACTATTTTTAAAACATGCATCTGTCAAAACAATTAGGCTCCACTATAGCCATAAAAATCTGTTAGCTGTCAAAGTATGAATATCAAAATATGCATCCTTCGGTTTTTCTTCTGGTGTAACTTGGAAATAATGCAGGCAATTTCAAGCTTTAAACCAAATATGTTATTTCCAGATGAGACAGTTAACTTACAAGGCCCTAGAAGAAATACTCAAGTCTGTATTCTTCAACTTTTTCCATACTACTGTGAAGATTTTCATCTATCCATTAAGTCTTTTATCATTGCCTTAAAGCATTCTTGGCCCCAGTAGTTCTTAATTGTCTTGGGAACCATTCTCTGCTAAAGTTTTCATATTTATGTATCACACTTTAGGCTTTGCTTCATGAGATCCTGGTCATTTGGCTTCTTTTTTCTTTTTTTTTTCCCTTTCCTTTTTGAGTGAAATAAGGAAAAATGAGTCAGTAGGAGAAAGAAGGTAAGGGAAAGAATAATTTCAGGATCACTTCTGTCATTTGTAGTGGCTGAGGATTTAATCGTTCATGAAGAAACTCCCAACTGGTTCCGTCAAACTGGTATAACTTCAGGGGGGGCGCTCTCTACAGGTGGCAGTGAATTGGTACCCGTTTGTGATACAGGCACTACAACAGCATCCTTGATATCTGTGTTTACATTACATGAGAAGTTCTTCTCCAATTTTTTGGCAGTGTCTGGACAATTTTGCACAAAGATTACACGATTGTAAGCCTTCAGTCTGCGCCACAACTGAACGTAGACTTTACACTGTACGTACATGAAGACGAGACCTCCTGTGAAGCCAATAGCCACCACAACCAATTTTGTCCAGAATGGCCATTCAAGGACACCTTTCAAATAAAAAAGAGAGAATGTTGTCACCAAGTTATCATCAATTGATAATTTCTTATATGGCCCCATCAAAAGGGTAAATTACATGGGAAAGGAATATTTTGTTAACTACTAAGAACCATGAACTGAGCTGGCTTGATTACTTTCAAATAATCTAAATTGTTTCTATAATGGCACAAGAAGAAATTCTCTTACCTCCCATTCGCATTAAGTACTTACTGTGATTATCAGACACTGCATTAGACTTTAGACAAGTCAATATTTCTTTGTACCTAAATTGTTTAAGTTTAGTGCAGAAATGTTTACCTAGAATGTTTAGAATATGAATTGTTTCAGAAGCAAGAGCTGAACTCTCAAACAGCACAATATTTGAAAATAATATTCTGTTTTAATATGTGCCTAGCACTGGGCCAAATTACATACATATTCATTTTGTTCTGACAACTCTATGAGGTAAGACTATTTTAAGCCTATTTATAAATGAAAACACTTTTTTTATAATCATCTCATCAGATGGAATTACAGTCATGATACATTCATATATTGAATGTAGCTAATTTTGTGGAATATGTCTTGGAAAATGCTTGGAACATCTGCCCTTAGGTATGTAGTGTTGATAACAGTAATTTGATTTTTATAAGATGTTGGTGTTTATATTTATGCAATTTGCATTTATCAAGAACTTAAAATTATAAGCACATATTCAATGTTAATAAGATGTTAATAACACTAATACCATATAGTTGTATAATAATTTATAGTTCACAAAGTACATTCATTTGCATAGACTTATTTGATCCTATGAGATTGACTTAAGAGGGTGAGTCAAAAATTATACACACTCTGGCTGTAGAATTTATTTTAATCAACTTTTTAGAAAAGACAAATACATCATTTTTGACATAGTATTGCTTCTCAATGCACTTTGTTCATCTGTCAACAAGCTTTCATATTTCCTTATTAAAAAATGTTTTAGGCAGAGCTACGAGCCATGAATGCACAGCTGTCTTCACATACTGAATGAAAGAGTCAGAATTTAAAATTAAAGAAGACCAAATAATGGGTATGCTTATGGACTTAGACAAGTCCCTTCCCACATCTTCATCCCCTAAAAGAAAAGAAAATGGAGAACTAAACAACTCAACCTTACCAGAAAGAGAGACAGTTACTGAGAATGAACTTGAAAGATACTTAGGATTATAGTAATGTGTTTTATACATCTAAAATTATGTACAGGCTGAACAGTTTATTAGACATTTGCATATCCATCATGCTTACTAGAAGCTAGCTTTCTTTTACAAGCAGTTAAATATTTCACAAGAGTTCCTCTGAGTATGAGTAACTCATATTTAGGAATTAATATATGTTAAATCTATTACAGTCAAGTGTCCTTCTCTGCCACCATCAGGATAGTGTAGGTGGCAAAATAACTGCCTTCATAAATATGAAATGTTAAAAGAATATGACTTGGTCTATACTCTTTTGATGACATTTAAAAGGGTTGGAAAAGACAGCTAGAAACCACAGTAAGCAGTAGGTTCCAAGATGAAGTTTTTATGAAAAAATTTATACATTTTTAAGGAATACTCTGCCTCTATTTTGCTCTATTTTGTAGTAGTGACGTGTTTGCTTATGCTGTGGAATAAAAAAAAAAAAAGATACTATGTTCTGTTTCCATCATGACTAATACTTTGTGCCCTAAGATTAACCAGAAATTACAGGGTCACCCTGTCAGTGGTCCTCTAAATAGATGAAAGATTGTGCATTTCCTGTATGCCAGACATCACAGCAAAGGCACTTTATTCCTGACTTTTCCAATGCTGCTGTCGTAAGTTAATCAAAGCTTTCTGGATATGATGATCAAATGATAACACTTCTGTTTTTCACCTGTCACAAGCAAACAAAACAAACTTAGGAACCATGATAAATTTGTGTTTTACTTTAAATACTTGTTAGAGTTTTTCATTTGTTGAAGCAGTCAGTCTGAAGTCTGACTCCTTTGAACCTTTACAAGTGAAAAAAAAATTTTTTTTTTTTTACTTTTCTAATTGCTCTGGCTCTTACTTTTCTTTTGAAATACTGGAAAAATACTCTCTGATCTGAAAAAGTATGTTACTGACTTCTCACTGCTGTTGATGTTTCATTATTTGTTGCTCTGTCTGCCATGGACTATCTAAAGTAATTGTATATGTTCCTTTCAGTAATAAAATCTGAAGCTAAATTTTGCAATGGATTATATGTATTGGGACCTTCACAAGTACAAACATAAATTTTTTCTTATTCCTAATACACAAGGACTTCTTTATGATTTGATTAATCCATAGCAATCATCAAAGAAAGCTATCCAAATAAGAATATTACCTCAAAATATCATTGGGATTAATTTTCATGAATTCAAATCTGTGTCTAGATCAAATAAATCTTTTACAGTGAAAAGTGGATTTACCAACATTTCTCAACTAAAACTCAGTTTCCTAACACTTGCATAAAGTAGAGATTAAATGACATTCATACAGAAAGCACCTTGAGATACTGCAGATTGTTAATATACTTTCTGAATCAACTAATATGTAATCTTGTTTGCTGTCACTGTGTTTTAGATATATTAAACTGGTAAAGTACATATTATGTGATTATACAAATTTTATTTAACCAAAGCACTCTTTCTTTTTAACCATGCCTGCTAGAGTTTATGCCTAAGACTTGTTGAGGTTGTGCTTAATTGATAACTCTTCTATTTAGAGTTATGCTCAGTATCATGATTTATTTCATCTGATGTCTTTTTTCCTCACTTGTCTGTCAGTTTGTCATGTTGCTGTGGTGCTGGAAGCTATGCCATTGGGGTTTCAAATGCCGGTAGGGTCAGCAGAGCTTCCAGATTAAGAACAGACTAGGAAGAAAGAGTAGACGGTCCACTGCTGAAAGATTTGTTGTTATTGTTAAGTGCTGTCTGGTCAGTTTTGACTCATACTAACCCTGTATAGGTTTCCAAAGCTGTAGCTCTTTGTGGGAGCAGAAACCCTCATCATTTTCCTGAGGCGGGCTGGAGAAAACACCGACGTATGGTTCCCAGTCCATTGTTTATACTGCAGAGCCACTACATTCCTAAATAAAACTGTTGTTAAGTGCCATCCAGTCTGTTCAGGCTCATAGCGACCCTGTGTAGTAGCTCCAAGGAGAGACTGGTGGGTTTGAACCACCAACCTTGTGATTAGCTGCCCAGTGCCGATGCTACAGTGCCCCATCAGAACTCTAAACAAAACTGGTGGTGGTGGTGTGCTGTGGAATTAGTTCTGACTCATAGCCACCCTGCATAGGGTTTCTGAGGTTGTAAATCTTGACGGGAGCAGAAAGGCTAATCTTTCTCCTGTGGAATAACTGGTAGTTTCAAACTGCTGATTTTGAGGGTAGCAGCCTAACTTGTAACCACTATGCTACCAGAACTCTTTCCAAACAAAACTAGGCATAGGAAAGAAAGAACCACAAACTACTAAGAAAAAAAAAAAATAGAAGCAAAGTGAAAAAGAAGAGAAACAAGAAAGAAAAAACTAAAGCAAAGAAAAAAAGGCAAAACACAATGGATGGGAAAGAATAAGAAAGGAAAGGAGACACGAGGGGGAGGGCACAGAAAGATCATTGTAAGGGGTGGGACAAAGCACAAAAAGGGGGGCACTGTGGGAGGCAGGGCACCTGTTAAGGTCAGTGCCCTCTGCTGTTCAAGAAGGTCAGGAGTGGAAGGAAAGGGCTCTGAGAGGGAGGTCGTGCTGACTTAGAACGTGTTTATGGTCAGGGTGCCTGATCCACAAAGAGTTCATGCTAGCTCAGACTGAGGTAGGGTGTATGTTCTTGGAAGGGGTTCTTCAGGGTCCAGAGAGAATCAGGGAAGAGGGTGACTGGTCCACAAAGAGTTTCTGCCTGTCTAGAGGTGGCTGGGGGCAGACTGCCTGTATAGCACTATGGGTTCTGCTGGTCTAGGACACTGGAATGCAATCGCTTCCAGACATGGGGTGGTGTGTACCTGGTGTCCGATACCTAATGGCTTTCTGGGCCAGGGGGATGTCACCAGCTGCCAGTTGGGTGATGGTTGGAGCTGATCACATTTCTGGTTACCAGGAGTGTGTGGGGAACAAGGGAAGCTTTATACCTTCCTAGTAGCACAAGGAGCTCTGGTAGCATAGTGGTTATGAATCGGGCTGTGAGCCACAAGTTCAGCAGTTCGAAACTACCAGCTGTTCCGCGGGAGAAAGATGAGGTTTTCGGCTCCCATAAAGATTTATAGCCTCAGAAACCCTATGCAGGGTCGCTATGAGTCGGAACCGACTCCACCACGGCACATAACAACAACAACAAGTAGCACAATGCAGGCTTGTGTTATCCTGGCTGCATGAAAGCAGTTCTCAGGTTGATGTTGTTGTTAAGTGCCGTCGAGTCGGTTTCGACCCATAGCAACCCTGAATAGGGTTTCCGAGGCTGTAAATCTTTAAGTGAGCAGATCGCCTCATCTTTCTCCCGTGGAGCAGCTGGTAGTTTCGATGTCCCCATTAAATGCTGCTTTTAAAAGTTCAAAATGGGCTGAGTTGTGTCACACGTTCTGTTTCCTCTATCCTTACTTTTGCTCAGCTGCTTCTTCTCTTAGTTGGTATTCAATCAACTTCTCTATCCTTTCCTCTGATGCTCTGGGTTCCAGGACTATGGCCCTACCTGTTGCATTTAGTCTCTTGTATCTCTGGTAACGTAGTGGTTATGAATTGGGTTGCAAACCACAAAATCAGGAGTTAGAAATTACCAGCTGTTCCACGGGTGATAGATGAGGCTTTCTGCTCCTGTAAAGATTTACATCCTCGGAAATCCTGTACAGGGTTGCTTTGGGTCGGAATTGACTCAACAGCACTTAACAATAACAACAACATCTTAATTGTAGAAGGTCTGAGTACTGTGCCTGCCTAGTCTACCTTCTGCTCACGTGATTATTTAGGAAACGATTTAGAAGGTCAATTAT